TGTTAGGCCTTATTGTGACAACCTATATGTCATGTAGGGTGTTTTGAAAATATAACACCACATTTGTAGGACAAATGGGCGAAATAAAGAACACAACTTAATCAAAACATGCGCTCCACAGTCAAACGTGAAACAATATGTTGTGAATGGATGTCGTCTGCTGGAGTAATTATTAACCCTCAAAACAGAAAGTTGGTATCAACAGAAGAAAGAATTCTGTTCGGTCGAACAAGTGTTTAGAAACTGCGAAACTGCACACACTGCAAGAGCACCACTGCGTTTATTTGTGTGTGTGTGTGTGTGTGCGCGCGCGCGTGTGTGAACAATTTCACAAATTGCATACCATATGGAATTTGACCTGCTCGTTCACTACATACAGCTCCATTAGATTATTATCTATGGGATTTTTGAATATTTTGTTTATAGAAAATGTTTACAAAATTCATATACACACAACTGAGAACCTGAAAGAAGCAGTCAGCATTATCATTCAAGAAATAACTACGGACACGCTGGAGAAGGTACTTGCTAGCTTGTTGTACCCCATCAGGACATCACACAAGCGATAAACACCCGGTGACACAAAGTGCCACCGAGCGGATGAGGATCACCCGTGGAAAGGTCACAGAAACCATTTTTAGCCGTTACGGCCACATGTGGGGCCCAGCTATATTCAGGGGCCCCTGCAAAAGCCAGGGGGGGGGGGGGGCTTCAAATAACGAAAAATCGCATCATACGAGGGGACCACTTAGGTGTAATGGTAGAATAAAGACTATTGAGATAATGTCCTGGTAGGTAAAGTTTTTTAAGATTTGTTCTGCATTCAGATTTAGATTTGACTTACACCCTACCGGGTCTGGAAAACAATGGGGACAGAGCGGTGTCTGATATATGCATCATAAACAAAAAAACAAAACAACAACCAAACGATGAGTTGAACTAATAATTTTCACGTTATCACAAACGATACGTGATCGTTGCTTCTTCGTTGAGTCTAACCCGAGTGGGTAATAATTATGATAATAACAATATTTGTATTTATGTGTTGAATGGCAAATAAATATAATAGTATAACTGACATGGTATGAAACTGATAAGCACATACTTAAACATATAATCATACAAGGGTTAGGAGCGGCTCTTTTAACCTCCCTCCCCCCAATCTTTTACAAATATTCTAGAGATAGCTTAGCTACCTAAAAGATATAGCTCCTATAAAGTAAAGGACCGTTTTTCCGAAACTTCGAGTGTATTGAGCATATAGGGCTATACTTATATTTTAATGACTAATTGGCACTCAGTGCCAAATGTGCTCAGCATCACGCCAGCCGTCTTTACTTCCCAGGACTTCACCAAGTACCCGTTTAGGGCTGGGTCCACCTGGGAGTTAAAGGAGGGGGGGGGGGAACCAGGTATGACCAGACTGGAACCCACGACCTTTGGAACGGCAAATGAAGGTCCTGCCGATACATCTTGGCGGCTGCCAATCTCTTCTCTGCTTGTTGGAGAGAAAAACAACATGACACACTACATTCCTAACAGCACAAAGTAAAGCACGGTCGTTCGACACACTACATAGCTAACAGCACAAAGCGAAGCACGGTCGCTCGACACACTACATACCTAACAGCACAAAGCAAAGCACGGTCGCTCGACACACTACATACCTAACCGCACTAAGTGAAGCACTGCCGTTCGACACACTACATACCTAACCGCACTAAGTGAAGCACTGTCGTTTGACACACTACATACCTAACAGCACTAAGTGAAGCACTGTCGTTTGACACACTGCATACCTAACAGCACTAAGTGAAGCACGGTCGTTCGACACACTACATACCTAACAGCACTAAGTGAAGCACGGTCGTTCGACACACTACATACCTAACAGCACTAAGTGAAGCACGGTCGTTCGACACACTACATACCTAACAGCACTAAGTGAAGCACGGTCATTTAACACACTACATACCTAACAGCACTAAGTGAAGCACGGTCGTTCGACACACTACATACCTAACAGCACTAAGTGAAGCACGGTCGTCCGACACACTACATACCTAACAGCACAAAGCAACGCACGGTCGTTCGACACACTACATACCTAACAGCACAAAGCAAAGCACGGTCGTTCGATACACTACATACCTAACAGCACAAAGCAAAGCACGGTCGTTCGACACACTACATTCCTAACAGCACAAAGCAAAGCACGGTCGTTCGACACACTACATACCTAACAGCACTAAGTGAAGCACGGTAATTCGACACACTACATAGCTAACAGCACTAAGTGAAGCACGGTCGTTCGACACACTACATACCTAACAGCACTAAGTGAAGCACGGTCGTCCGACACACTACATACCTAACAGCACAAAGCAAAGCACGGTCGTTCGACACACTACATTCCTAACAGCACAAAGCAAAGCACGGTCGTTCGATACACTACATACCTAACAGCACAAAGCAAAGTACGGTCGTTCGACACACTACATTCCTAACAGCACAAAGCAAAGCACGGTCGTTGGACACACTACATTCCTAACAGCACAAAGCAAAGCACGGTCGTTCGACACACTACATTCCTAACAGCACAAAGCAAAGCACGGTCGTTCGACACACTACATACCTAACAGCACTAAGTGAAGCACGGTAATTCGACACACTACATAGCTAACAGCACTAAGTGAAGCACGGTCGTTCGACACACTACATACCTAACAGCACTAAGTAAAACACGGTCGTTCGACACACTACATACCTAACAGCACTAAGTGAAGCACGGTAATTCGACTCACTACATACCTAACAGCACTAAGTAAAGCACGTTCGTTCGACACACTATATACCGGGGGGAGATGTAATGTTCGTTGCTGAGCTCTGTCAAGAGCACTATTAAGACTGATGTTTATTTCTGTAAGGCTGTTCTTAATGCCATCACTCCATATTTTCCGAGGTCTTCTACTCGCTCTATGCCCGTTGTAACGTTTTAGTGTGGCTCACTGTTGCAGATAGTACCAGGGCATTCTTGTTAGGTGTCCAAACCACTTCATTTGTTGTTCTTTGATGACCTGTAAGACTGGCTTTATTCCTAGCATTCGTCTGATTTCATGATTTCGTATTCTGTCTTTCCTTGAAACTCCTGCAGCTCTTCTAAGGTATTTCATCTCTGTTGTCACAATTTTACGTTCATTGAAGGATGTAAGTGTCCACGTTTGGCATTGATAGCATAGTGTTGGCCAAAACATAGTTCTGATAAGATTGAATTAAGTACTGTTAGGTATCTGCTTGTGTGTCAACAGGGGAGATAGTTGACCCATTACTTGATTAGCATTGGCACATCTGGAGCTAATTTCTCTGTCCAGTTTTCCGTCGGATGAAAAAATTGCTCCAAAATACTTAAATTCCTCTGTTTGTCTCAATGTGTTGTTTTTTAATTTAATTTCTAAATTGTCTTTATGTCTTCCCATCATCATTGTCTCTGTCTTCGTAGTGTTTATTTTCATATTATATTCCTCCCCTTTGTTACTAATTTGATTTAGGTGGTTCTGTAGGCATTCCGTATTTTCTGCTATGAGTACCTGGTCGTCGACAAAAAGTAATTCTGTAATATCTTTTTTTCATGATAAAAGTTCGTTTCGCTACATATGGTATCCATGTATGTTATAAAAAGAAGCGGCAATAGTACACAGCCCTGACGCACACTAGAGTTCACTAAAAAAGTTTTTGACCACCCTGCCTTCGATCTTATGCAGCATTTACTACGTGTGTACAGGCTTTTGCAAATATTGAGATAATTGCTGATTCCTTTTTTCCACATACATTCCCACAACATATTCCTGTCGACTCTATCGAAGGCTTTTTCTTGGTCTATGAATGTCAACAAACATGTCTTATCATATTCTTTTGCCCTCTCTGATAGCTGTCTCAATGTATAAATGGCACATCTGTGCAACTTCTTTTTCGTCGAAAGCCCATCTGTGCTTCTGAAAGTTGACTCTCTATCAATGGTCTCAGCCTTTTTTCGATGATCTTAGCATACATTTTCCCAGTGTGACCGAGAAGTGATATTCCTCTGTAATTAGTACATTCCCACTACATACCTAACAGCACTAAGTGAAGCATTCGACACACTACATACCTAACAGCACTAAGTGAAGCACGGTCGTTCGACACACTACATACCTAACAGCACTAAGTGAAGCACGGTCGTTCGACACACTACATACCTAACAGCACTAAGTGAAGCATGGTCGTTCGACACACTACATAGCTAACAGCACTAAGTGAAGCATTCGACACACTACATACCTAACAGCACTAAGTGAAGCACGGTCGTTCGACACACTACATACCTAACAGCACTAAGTAAAGCACGGTCGTTCGACACACTACATACCTAACAGCACTAAGTGAAGCACGGTCGTTCGACACACTACATACCTAACAGCACTAAGTGAAGCACGGTCGTTCGACACACTACATACCTAACAGCACTAAGTGAAGCACGGTCGTTCGACACACTACATACCTAACAGCACTGAGTGAAGCACGGTCGTTCGACACACTACATAGCTAACAGCACTGAGTGAAGCACGGTCATTCGACACACTACCTACCTAACAGCAGTTTAAAGAAATAGCACACTGATTCTTTCTGGTGAAAAAAAAAAATTGTTTACATTTAGGTCAAAGATGTGCGTGCATTAATCGAATGTCTTTCCCAAACACACTTAGTGCAATCTTAGAGAAAATTTTTACATGAAAATTGTCACGTAGATGATTGTGAACCTAAGCATAATCTTATCAGAATCACGACTTTATGTGATTTGCTGATATTCTAGACATTAATATTTGAGCTATGCATGCATATTTTAACTGAAGTTGTAGTTGTAAAGTTAGACACTGCTAATTACGGATCTGCTTCTCTTCTTGTCAAGTGATTGGGAAGTAATTGGTTCTTTTCTGAGGAATTCTTACGAGACACAAACTACAATGATTTGTCTACTGTTTTTAGGTACGATTTGTTTTATAGTGTTGCAGTGTTCGAAAATATTATATTTTACGTTAGAATGTAAAGATAATTTCATGCTATATAATATCGTAAATTCACAAATACAATAATGAAATTTTCTTAGAGAGAAGTATGTGTGATTTGGGTCAGAAGTAAGAAACATACCGGCAATTCACAAGATTTGAAAATCGGAGAAAATTGATTCATAAACATTGTATCTGGAAAATTGCATCACGAAAAAAAAACGAGCAAATGATCACGAAAATGCACTTGACTTCTCTCGGCAAGGCCAAGTGGGGTTCAAATGTCATTTATTTCATATAATTGCTATTGTATTTATACATGTTAGTATTAAACAGTATGTAAAATATGTTATACAACAACATCAGTGTATAATATACCAATAAAAATAGGCTAGTTTTCTTCATGGGGACTTATTAATCATTCTCCTTTTATTTCTAAACGGAAAATGAGTTCAGTATGCATCGAGTTGGTTCGCGTCCTGTCTGGCATACGTCCTGTTCGGTATAAGTCCACGGATCTGGAATATATTAAGGACGTATACCGAGGCCTCACGGTATGAATCTGGCATCATATCCCCAAATATGCGCCATTAACTCACTTTACTAACAGCAGAACAAGGGCTTGTGGCAGCCCACTTATGTGGGCGTTTTGGTTATGAGATCAAATTACCCCCCCCCCCCCCCCCCAACCACTCCCCCTTTTTTTCCTTTTTTTCTGAGGCAGGCATATTAAAGACATTATCCATGCCTTTCATGCATCTCAGCCTAGAATTGATACCAGGAAATATTTTGGGAAGTAAAAGTGACCTGCCTGACATTTGTCACTCCACCCATCCAGTGGAC